TTTTGAAACAGATGGCAATTACCCGGGTGCACTGCAATTTTGTCAGCTGTCGCTACCGGACACCGGTTGTTATTGGTGGCATACATTTTTGCCTGTGACTCATAGTTTTTTGCATTTTTATGTCATTAAATCCCTCAATTATATCTTGTACTTAAAGACCATGTTTTCTTTGTTGGAAGTTCACAATCCATCTCAAAGTAACAAAACTGAGAACATCGCGTTCTGGCGTTCGTGTAGGCACCTCACGGTGTTGAGGGACGGTGGTTTAGGTTTGTGTGGCGAACGACAATCACCCAACGACCGATGCTCACAACTTGGATCCCACCATTAACAAAAAGCAATATTATAGTTATTCAACCACTATATTTTCCTAAAAATCAAATAATACCGGTTTTATGTATTTTCGTATTAAACCTGTAGTCAATTCATGTTCCAGGGCCACTTGGTTTAGCCGTGCATTATCAGCAAATATAACATGGATTGCATATGCAAATTTTGTGTTTGAACCAATCAAATCAATGGATTAACACCATCAATATACTGGTATAATATAATAACAAATATCCAACAGCTGTCTTATATTACCATATGCTGTAATTACATTTGCAGTAGTGCTTACATAAAGATGTATCTATGGCCAGAATATACCATACTTTAATGCAATATGGTATTAGTATAAGTATGCACTCACAAAAATGACAGTGTGTGCAAGTATACAATAAATGTATTTTTGAATTACGTGCAGAGCAAATATGGTAGTCCACTAATGTGCACATACAAATGATGAAATATTGTGTAGGAATGTGGTAGTGGTTGAGCTGTACAGCAGCAAGAGTCATTAAAAACATTAACAAGTAACTCAATGAAGGAAGGAAGCACTGGGGAAAAAAAGGGGGAGCTATAACTCATGGAACAAAAACAAATTAACAAATAAACATTTTGATATTCAAACCTAGCAGGGGATATTACACAGTTTTAGCAGCAGTGGAACATATGCATCATTCAAAAAAGTACTTACTCAAATTGAAACCCAATTTAACATGTGTGGACAATCCTCAGTTCAGACATGATTTTACTAAATTTATAATTGTTGCATGCTATGTCAATAGTGAGGTTGTTAGAATAAAATACCCTGACGAAATTGAAAACGTAGGTAATGCAACTTAAACTTTGTTGAAGATAAATTTCAATTCATACTGGTGTGCCCTATTCACAGTGACTTGCAAACCAATCCTTCTGACACATTTACTTCAATCTACCCTTGGTACCTAAATTATATTTACTCCTATCATCTCATAAAAAGCTTGAAATTAACTATAAAATCTCTGTGGCTACCAGTTGTAAATCCATCAGGTTTAGTCGGTACATACACCTGTGTCAAAAAGTATCAATGGAAATAAATAAATGTCATTTTGCCCAATTTCTGTTGGGACACACAAAATTTGATGACAAATTGGTTTATTTAAAAAAGTACTATTTTGTAAATTTCTAATATTCAGTTGGGCTACTTATTTTGTAAAATAGTAGCCAAA